TATAGCTAGAAATGTTTTGGATTGTAAAAGTTTGTTGTGAATAAGAAAGTTATGTTGTTAATATCTCTTGCATAAGTCAGGGTTGAATGCTTGGGTTTTAATATACCCGATACATGCCAAGAGTAAACTCAACTAGACAAAATATTTCACGATGGACATGCCATCTTTTAAAATAATATTCCCGACAGCCACGTGAGTAAATTATATCTCACACCATTATTTAAATATGATATCCCGATGAGTCCCTTTCCATCGTTTTTCCGCCTCGTAAATTCATTTTATTAGACTAACTTATTTGTTGGTTGAGTATTAGTCCTCGCGTAACTTTAGATTTTACCCAACAAACTTATTCGTCGAGCAATTTATTACTTAACCGACGGTTCTAAGTGTCCGTCATGTAAATATACAATGATGATCTTGACTCTAGACGAATGAGCTTATATCCCGACAAAGCTTTTCCGTCTGGTAAACTATTTTTTCTTGTAGCGCCCAAGACAGATCAAGAAAGTGAGAGCTATGAGTTTTGTATATCTAGGACTTTAATAGGGAGAAGGAGAGAGCGGCTAGGGTTTTTCAATAACCAAGGAGAGTTGTTAGATTAGTATTTCATTTATTACTTCTTATGATTATATCTATCAATTTTTTAAGGCTTCTTAGCCGAAAATGCCCCCTGAAACTGTCATTAAGTCTCAGTTTACCCCCTAAAACTAGTTTTGTCTCACTTTGCCATCTGAAACTGAGATTTTCAACTCTCTTGTCTCACTTTACCCATTTCCGTTAATGGACTGTTAAATTTAAGGGTACTTTAGACATTTCATTTTTTACACATTTATTTACTTCTAACCTACACACTAAACAAATCTCAATTTTATTTTTGAAACTCTAATTCAAACCCATAAATTTGGGGCATTTTTTAAAATAAATTATTCAATCAATAGAAAATTTCCGAGCAACAAAATCCTTGTATCAACCAAAATAAGGATTATATTTTGTTCGTACAATCATTTCACTTTCAAGACATCCATGTATTAGCTCGAAACTTTGCAATTGAAAAATATTCATTACAACAAAGTCATTATATCATTAAGCTATCATATCCAAAATACTTCCCAAACCAAAAAAAAAATCATCTAAAGCAAATGTGCACAGTTTGAAACAAAAAAATTTTGTCATAGGGAGGAATCTAAAACGAGGGTGCTATGATCAATTCCAGTCATAGGGAGAAGTACAAGTTGTTGGTGCCTCACAAGCTCAACCTCAAGGATTTGGTGCTTCACACACTCAAAGCCAAGTAGAATTTGTTGCCCCACAAGCTCATTCTCAACCACAAGAAGTACAACCACCTTTTGAACAAGCTCATGCCTAGTGAAATCAGTGCTCAACAATGTAAATTTTTTTGTTTCAAACTATGCGCATTTGCTTTAAATGATTTTTTTTTGGGGCAATTTGATCCAGGTCCAATGAATTCATCAGTTTTCAGATTGGGTCCAATTTTATTTGATTTTTTATTACACCTATTTTGCCCCTCGAAATTAAAAATATTTAAATTCTTTATTTTTGAATTTAAAATTTTAAAAATTTGCAGCTTCAAATACCTTTATCTACCCGTTTTCTAATTAAAAACAGTTTAAAAACACATTACAACCAATCTTATAAGTTTATAAAAAATTAAAAGAAATGTTGTCGAGGTACATAAAAAATTTGTGATGTAGGTAGATAATATTAATTAATCTATGATATAGGTAGACTATGGATTAAAAACCTATCGTATAGATAGATAACACAAAATAATATGTGATATATAGATAGACTAATGAGCAAAAACGTAAGAGCTTGAAAGAAGAAGAATGAACAAGAAGGAAGGGGATCGGAAAACACAACACAAATTGTATAGGGAGTTATGGAAGAAGAGATATACTTTAAAACTAATTCTACAAGTAGAGGATTATTTAAAGATAAATAATCAATTATACTACTTTATACCTATAAAGCAGATATATTCTACTTACTCTATATAAAGACAAAATTATTTTCTATGTCTACCTATGTATCAGGTATATAAACAAAATAAATAAAGTGCATTTGCTATAACGTTTTTACTTATAAAAAGAGAAGTTCATATAAACAAACAAAAAACTAAGAAAGAAATTAATAGTGAGAGCCTACAATTATATATACACATCAACACCCACGGTTATGGTTTAGAAGGCTTTCTTCCTAGCCCTGTAGTTGAATGTTTCAGCATGAACACACATGGTTATGGGTTCCAAGGAGGAAGAAGATCACCACGCATAAAAAATAATACTGTTTGTAGGGGAGTTATGAGGAAGAAGAGATAATACTATTTCAAACTAATCCTACAATTATGGGATAATGATAAATAATCAATTATAATTAATTTTATAATACAAGTAAATCTAAAATTAAAAGATAATGTTAATAGAGGGCTAATTTTGACAAAAAATGATAATAAAATGATGTGGACAATGAGTCACTGGACTTAAACCAATAATTAAATAAAATTGGACTATATCTAGTAATTGCTTACAAATTTGGACTTATTTCAAGTTTTCCCTTTTTTTTTGTTGGAGAAGTATTTTGGATATGATAGCTTAATGGTATAATGATTTGTTATAATGAATATTTTTCAATTACAAAATTTCAAGCAAATACCTTGATGTCTTGCAAGTGAAATGACTCTACAAAAAGGATGTACCCCTTATTTTGGTTAATACCATGATTTTGTTGCTCGTAATCCAAATTTATGGGTTTAAATTAGAGTTTCAAAAATAAAATTGAGGTTTGTTTAGTGTATAGGCTAGAAATAAATTAATGTGTAAAAAATGAAATGTCTAAAATAGGGGTGTGTGCTATCCACACACCCCATTTTACTTCTCTACTTTCTACGAAAAGCAAGTGTCTGGCTGACGACTCTATAAGTTAAAAACTTCGCAACACTCCCTGGGAAGGCCGAAGCTCAAGAAGCCATTCAAAGCCGAGGTACAACTATAGTAGCTACGCAAACTCGCCTGCTTCCTACGGAGATAACGAGTTAAGCCACCTGCTCTATAAGTTAAAAATCTTGCATTTTTCCTCTTCCAGGTAAAGCTCTAGAAGCCCCGAAGATAAAACTAAAACCTAAGTGGTGACGTGGGATCAGCTGCTTCATTGAAACAGCTGACCCAGCCGACCGTCCTAGGATAAAGTTTTGCAAAAAACATGGCAAAATAGAAGGATGAAGCAAAACAAGGAAAGTTATCCATTAAATTTCTAGCAAATTGATAAACCAGCTTGAATGCCAGCAAAGTTCAAATAAAGCAGAATAAAAAGGAAAATAAGAAAAATCCAAAGTCTAAGCAAAAAAAACTACTCATTGGCAGCCTGCGCAACCACTGGTTCCTCGACTACCACACCTTCAACAGCCATACCGCTTATAGCAGCCAAAGCTTCCATCAGCTCATCCTAAGCTGCCCCTGTCTGGACTGCCTGACCCTCAGCTACTCCACCAAAGGCAATCTCGAACGAGAAGTCATGCAGATCAACTGGAGAAATTGAGAAAGTCTTGAAATCCTTCTCGAAAAACTCATAATCCTACAGCTTACCCTAAAGATGGTTTACATAGCCGAGGTTGTAGAAATCGGTCTGACAGGAAACAAGGGCCATATCGTGGCCGACTTTCTCACTTTTCAACTGCACATTCTCCTCAACAAGCCCAATGTAAGTACTCTGCAGCGTAACTAGTTCCTTTTTCAGGTTCTCGTTAGCAGACAACGCACCTTGCAAACCATTTCTTTAGACTCAAGCTTAATGGCAATATCCTTGAAATAGGACACTTCAGCATGCATGAAGACAAGTTCCTCGTCCTTGGCAAAACAAGCAGATCGTAGCTCTAAATTGACATGCTTAAGATCTTTGACCACCGATGCAACACGACTGACTTCCTTCTCTGCAGCTTCCAACATCACTGAGTCGCACTAAGCTTACCATTCAAGTTGACGACATCCTGATGAGCGGTCTCCAATTGCACAGAAGTGGGGGCAGAGATATTAGACCCCTTCAAAATGACGAGTTCAAATTCGAGCTTCTGGATCTTTGCAGTAGCCAAGCAAAGCTGAGCCGTCAGCACCACTTCGCCCATCTTAACGCATTCGACAGCATCATGATCAATGCACATAGACTCAGCTACCAGATCAAAGTCTTATGTATGGTAGCAATCAGAGAGAACTTCTTAAAATAGGCAAAACGTTTCGCCAATGAGCAACATTTCCGTTGAACTAAGGCTCGCCCTCCTCGGATTAATTCATTACTGTAAGGAACACTGTATAATTTAGCTACAGGCTCAATGGTAATTTGATTCGGTTTGTTTCAAGCTAAAGCAGTGTGCAGGTAGCAGAAGTACTGCAATGAGCAAAGTAAAAACAGTGAAAGGTGTTGGCTGGGAAGTTTCCGCCGTTGGAACATGTTAATTTTCTTCACAGTTACAATTTGTGTGTTTAAATTTCGTCGTGTTTGTTTGTTTGTCTTGTATCTCCTTTCAGCCATTTTGTGGGGCGGGGGGTTTGTCTAAACGTGCTGATGTTCTCGAACTTGTGGGAATCGCCAAGTTAACATCAGTTTTCCCGTTAGGAGGAAAGCACGTCGAGTCCGTAAGCGTTGGCATGTGCAAGGTGAGCTTCAATTTTGTGCTACACGTTAATCGCTGTACTCGACAATGTTTTATATGGTACAATGATTACTTTAGGAGGAAAAAGGAGGATCGTACAAGGCATCGATTCCGCTAATTCAAGCAAAACCTTGAATTAACGGAATCGATGAATGGCGAGGACAAGCTCTGTCTGCAATTTAAGCACCAGAATTCCAAGCCGACTACAAAACTTGGGGATTTCAGTTCCACCTTATCACTTTGTTTCCAGTTTGAAAAGTTTGTATCACCTGATTGGTTTTCAAATACAAGATTTAAGTTAGAAAACTATTAATTTGCCACAAATTTACAAGCTGCCTTCAACAAATCTACTTTAATTAAGCAAATTTTACATATACATCGATCTGATTGACCAAATTGGAAACCACATTTCTTTGGAGGGCCGTCAATTTGTTTAGCCATCTCAACGGCAACATCTGTCTTTCCGACGAAAAAATCAACCGGACGACTACCCACGAATACTAGACATCTGTCGTTCAATGCGAACAGCCCCGTGTTACTACAACATCAGGACTCAAATTTACAGTGTTCGAAGGTCAGACAACCAGCAATTCTTGGAAAATTAGTGACCCAGTGCAATCTCATCATCAAGAGAGAATACCTCTCAATATTTGACTTGAAGAACGCTACTGAATCTCTCAACTGGCACAAAAAATTGGCAGGGTGAACGAATAGACAAGCCGCATGCTGTGAAGAACGCTATTGAATCTCTCAAACATTACCCGCAGAATCTGTGGGTGTTGTGGTACCTACATTTCTTTACCCCCTTAAGGGTTGTCACTATGATGGTAAAAAATAAGGATCTTGAGTGTACAAAAAATGCAATCTCCTGAAATCACTTTCTCCTCCGCCACCAGTCTGGTATTTTCAACCTCCGGCTTCTATGTACAGAAAGTTTGACGGCAGAGAGCTTGTTCTTCACCTGTCTCCATAGCATATTGACTGCATCCTCTTTCTCTGGGGGGCAATGGAATTCAAAATGGTGGGAAATATTCTTTAGTGTCCCCCACATTTCAATCCATCTCTCCCTTGAAACATTACGAAGCTGATTAACCATGTAATCAGGTTCCAAAGCCTCTTTGAATGAGAAGAATAGTGAGAATTTGGTGTAGTCAATTTCATCCTCAAACGGGAGCTCAATTTCATCGCTCACAATGACGGGAACACAGTGGCTCACAATAGCATCAAATAGGCGACAAGAAGACGGAGTGTCTCCAGCCGGATGCAGACAAAATTTTGATAAACGCATCCGTTGCGTAGACTGATATAACAGAAAGAAAAAAGAATGAGATACATTAGAAGATACACTAATATATGAATCATTACTCAAACTTATGATGGCTACCAATAAAATCCTCACATGCAAAGGGAAAATTAACCCTCTGAAGGACAAAGCGGATCACATGAAATGAATGTAAGTTTCCATGCGCCTCCAACCTGCCCGTTGTCTTTAAGTGAGGGTAAAAGGTATCAACTAAGAGCATAATTTTAAAACTCATTTGCTTGGAGTCTCTCCAATGATTACTTCTCTCATCCATTTTTCTTTAATAAAATGAAATTAAGGAGTTTGCAATCATTGCATGGAGATATCCAGATAGAAACTACCAAGTAGAAGGAGTACGGTATGCACAGAAATAGTTTTAATAAGAAGGCGAAAGACCATAAAGAAACGGAAATGATGTCAAGGAAGACAAATAATCATTTCCAGTGACTAGTGTGCAAAATCCATACTTTCCAGGACCAAGAAATGCACAAAACAGTAATATTTATGAACCATTATAAGAATCCATACTCCATACATACCGATTTTATGTTATCTCCTGTTGCAACACTCCGCTCATAGTGAACATCATTGTAACCAGCTAAGACTTTAGCCAATTTAACTCGAACAATGCCTTCCTGCATACAATGAGACCAAAGATAATCAAATATGGATCAAAATACAAGGTTTTAGGACTGGATGATTTTATTTCAAGCAACTTTTAAGCTAGCATACATCTTTCCTGTATGTCCTTCCCTGGAAGAAAAGAAGCGTAGTGCGGGACTCAAATGGATCTGGATGGTTATCGTCTGTAAAGGAATCCACAACGTGCACATATGGAGTGACCACATCTTTGCTCAGATTTGACATGACATGAGGATACCTTCCAAAATCTACAACAATCTGAATTGATGCATTGACCTGTGGCCGAAGAAATCTGAAAGCATTCGGATGTGTCATAGGGATAACATGGTCTCTCCCTCCAGATCTTTGCCAGTACTTTGATTCCCCCAAGATTTTCAATAAATCTACCTGAAAACATAAGAAACTAAAAATTAGTCATAACAGAATATTATAACACACACGAAAAAAGGTCAATTGGGACACACAACTAAGACCTATATGACATTGAATTTAAAAATAGCTAGCACTAGATGCAGGACTTGTATAATTTCAGAAGCTGGTTGATGAAGACCAAATAACAACAACAACAACAACAACAACAAAGCCTTTTCCCACTAAGTGGGGTCGGCTATATGAATCCTAGAACGCCATTGCGCTCGGTTCTGTGTCACATCTTCTGTTAGATCCAAGTACTCTAAGTCTTTTCTTAGAGTCTCTTCCAAAGTCTTCCTAAGATTCCTCTACCCTTTCGGCCCTGAACCTCTGTCCCGTAATCGCATCTTCTAAACGGAGCGTCAGTATGCCTTCGTTTCACATGTCCAAACCACCGTAACCGATTTTCTCTCATCTTTCCTTCAATTTTGGCTACTCCTACTTTACCTCGGATATCCTCATTCCTGATCTTATCCTTTCTCGTGTGCCCACACATCCAACGAAGCATTCTTTGATGAAGACCAAATAAAGATAAAAAAGTTAATGGTAGAACCAGGACTACCATTATACACAAAAAGCCGCAGAATTAACTAAGCAGCCATCTAATTGGCGAAACCATCATCCAAACACATTCTAAGTTCTAACTTTCGACAATTCGTTCTAGCTTCTTTTTTTTTTTTTTTTAACAAATGTCATAAATCAAACAAGTCCCGGGCTGTGAATTCGATATGTCAGCTATACAATAAAACCCCAGTTGTTAATATGTCTTCTATATTCAGAAAAACCACATCTTTCTCAATTTTCAGCAGAAAAATGAAACTTTAATTTCCAAATATATGCGACAATCAAGCTCGATCAAGGCATCAAAATTCGATGTTTTCGACGACCCAATTCAACACAAAACTATCAAATTGCTCCAGAACAACTGACTAATCCACAGATAAACATGAACACCAAGAACCAAAGCCCAATTGATTACCTGCAATTGGCGATCAATCTGAGTAGCCGGGTCGGTCATGTTGTGCCCATGAGTATTGAAGCTCAACGAAGAGAAAAACGGCACAAAGAAGGCATCGGCCAATTCCGGATCAGAAACCCTAACCGCCTCTCTCCCATCACCGCCATTACCGTCGGACAAAAGCGAGCCCATCATCCAGTACTCAACACTATGCTGCCTCTTGAGCCCGGAATTCTTGGGCCACGGAGGCCAAGTCCGGGCGGTCACCGGAGTCTGATCGGTGCTCCGGCGGTTCATAATTCCGACGTTGAAGCGGCGCGGGAGATCGTACATGTAGACTTTGAGAGGCGGGGAGGTGGTGGCGCATAGAGACTGGGCGGCTACCGGCGGCAGCGATAAGGGGGCGAGCGGGAGGAAGTAGGATCGGACGTCGACGGTGCCGATGAAGATTGAGTAGGTGATGAGGAGGAGGAAGGCGACAATGAGAGCGAAGGAGGCTTTTCCGTACATTTTGTGAGATCCTGTGTTTGACATTACTGATTGGGCGGGCAGTATAACAGTACCGGGACTAACTAAACTATCCGTTTGATTTGGTTGAGGAGGCAAAACCGATGGGAACAAAAAGCACTTTTCAGGCCTTGGGCCTGAAGCAACCATTAAATTTGGGAGGAACGAAAGAAAAGAATTTCTAAAGTGAACAGACTCATGGCTGGTTTACTGTGCTTTAAAAAAAAATATTGTTTTGTTGTATTGTGAGAATAAGTAATTATGAAATAAAACAGCAGAATATTTTGTACACTTTTTTGTAAAAGTAATTTTGGAAAAAAAACAGTATTATAGTATTTGGTAAACTTTTATGTAAAACAGCTGTGACGGTGTGAAATGATCAAAAATGATATAATACTATATGTGCTATTAATTTAATTTTCTTAACAAATAAAGGTGAATTACTAAATATACTTTATTTTTAAAAGAAAAATATTTATAAACTTTATCTTAAATATTAATTAGTATGACAAACTACTTCAATTGAAATATTTTAGACTGAATAGCTAAGATTCATTAGTACAATATTGTTGAAAGTAGTCTAATTAGATGCATTCATCAATTATATTTGTAAAATAAAACAGTAACGTGTTTGATAAATTATATTTGTAAAAGTGCTTTTATCAAAAAATGCAGTGTTATAGTATTTGATAAATTTTTATATAAAAATTGTGTAAAATGACATTTATAATAGTTACTCTTTACCATTTTTTATCATGATATTATGATATTTATAATTTTGTTTTATTCTATTATCTTCTTAGGGATCATTTCTTCTACCTTATCCCTTTTCTTTTTTTTTTGCAGAACCTTTGTACTTCTCCCTTCCGCCGCTCACTCCTCTCTCCCCCTTCTCTCTCTGACTCTCTCTCCCAGATCCTAAGAAAGGTTGGGTCGCATCAACCGATTCGCGGAGGAATGATGGACTCCAATTTCGTGACAGACTATCGGTATTAGTGATGAAGGCATCAAGACCTTCCAGTTGAGATTTTGGGTGTCAAGTAAAATGGTGCAAATCTAGCATTTTTTGTGCAATCCAGATTTTGACGAAGCCCATAAATCCAACAAAGAGGCCCCAAAATTCGACAAAGCCCATAAATTTGACGAACCTCCCGTCACTGCTGTCACATAAATCCGAACAAGCTTAGAAATTCAATGATGGAGAGCAAGGCTAGAGGAAAGAGGAAGAGAGGGCAAGATTGCCAATTTTTAAAAAGAGGTGTGATATCCACACATCCCATTTTACTTCTCATACACATTTTTAATTTTTGACCATCGGATCAGATGAATTGAAGAAGATCAACGAACATAAACTATCAAATAGTGTGTGATAAGTAAAATGAGGAGGGTGGATACCACACCCCTTGAAAAATTCATTTAATGTTACTGTGAAAAAAAAAACAATTTTTTAAAGTTAGGATTTGCAGCTTCCTATTTTTGGCTTTTTTTTCATCTAAAATTGTGGAAAAAAACTGAATTTGAATGTTTACCAAACACAAAAAAGCTCTCAACTTTTTTTTATACCTGCTTTTTTTATACGTTAAGCAGTACCAAACTGGTACTCAACAGTGAGTAACACCTTTGTGTCTCTGTCCAAGTCTGAATCATTAATCCCATCATCTGCATTAAATGAAAATATTGCTCGAGCAAATTAAATGTGTTTATCCATTTATCCTGTGTCAAATATGGTTTGTGAAATACTTACTTAGTATTACGGTTTAGTGGATATTCATTTTAATTTGTAAGTGAAGAAATTTTAAATTCGATTTTCGTTAAAAACGAATTTAAACCACATTATTATTGCTACCTGATTGTGAAACTTAATCTACTCTCTTACTCTATTATAGATAATACCGTTTTTTTTTTTTAATTTTAAACCAAATTTGAATTAATACCCTTAACTTTTATGAACTCCTTTAAAATCCCACAGATTTTCTTAAAATATTTCAAAAGGGTCCCAAAACGTCCAAACAGCCCGCAATTTCCACAACTTCGTATTATTCGCCGGCTTCTAGACAATCACAACGTCCCCTAGCGGGGAAGGTAGTTCTATGCGTACGCACTTCTCCATTCGCCGACTTCCTTCACCTCTCCAAATCAAAACCCACCATCTCCAATCGTCACTCCACAAATCCGCAGACTCACCAACTGCAGAGAGATCGGGAAAAAAATGGCGTTGGGTTTCAGCCCCGGCGACGCAGCCGGCTTCAAGTTCCTGCTCATTTTGGTGGTGACGTACGGCCTCATGGCGGCGCTGGTTCACTCCATACTCTACATGCGCTTCATCAAGCCGCTCGAGATCGACGCTCCTCTCGATCGCTTCTCGGAAGCCAGAGCTGTCGAGCACGTTCGAGTCTTGACCCAAGAGATCGACGGCCGCCAGGTGAGCTCATTTTTCAATGCCCTCACTGCATTTTTCTCCGTTTTTTGTCCAAATTGAAGAAAAAACAATTTGAGATTTTTTTCTGGGTTTGATTTGAATTCGCAATTGTTATTGCTATTGGAGAGATTGCGTACACTGTTTGGTTTATGGGTTGAGGTACTTATTTGCAGTTTCCTAATTTGTTGATAGGAAGGGCGTCCTGGCTTGACAGAAGCTGCTCGATACATTACAGGGCAGTTGGAAATGATAAAGAAGCGAGCTGGGTCCAATCTTAGGTCTGTATAAACCATAAAGATTGCTTATTTATTATTTATTCATTGTTCTTTGGAGTTCCGTGATGATGGTGCCTAAATTTTTATACGTGCAGAATTGAGATAGAAGAGTCCGTTGTTAATGGAACCTTTAATATGATGTTTCTGGGCCATAGCATTTCTCTTGGTTACAGAAACCACACAAATATTGTGATGAGGTAACTATACACATTTTCGATTACTTTAATTTCTTATCAATAGGCTGCCGGTCTCAGTTTTGTCACAACTTATTGCTGTAGTGATAAGTATCTATGTTTTGTTTGTCAAAGTTATAGGAATATGATGAGTAATGTAGTGGCGTTGATGTTTTCATCATGCTGCAGTTTAGAAAATGTCACTGCACATTAAGTTTTATTCAATGGCAGGATATCATCGAAATATTCACAAGACAATGAACCGTCAGTTTTGTTAAATGGACATTTTGACAGTCCACTTGCTTCCCCAGGTGCTGCTGATTGCGGTTCGTGTGTAGGTGGGTAGAAACAAACTTTCATTTTTTTTAATCATTTCATGCATGTTCATGCCATTTTCTTTATTTTCCTATTCTTTTGCAGCATCAATGCTTGAAATAGCGAGGCTAATTGTGGATTCTGGATGGGTTCCTCCTCGGCCTGTTATTTTTCTTTTTAATGGTGCTGAAGAGCTTTTCTTGTTGGTAAGTTGTTTCCATAATATTTAGTCTGGAAATTGAATCATTTGCTACCAATTCAGGTTTTATATAGTTAAAAATAAAAAATAAAAAATAAAAAATTTTGAGCTTTTTATTGGCATCTGATATGTTTAAGCTCATTAGAGGTGATTTCTTACCCTATTAGGGTTCTCATGGCTTCATGAAGACACATCAATGGCGTGATACCATTGGGGCTTTTATAAATGTGGAGGCATCAGGGACAGGCGGTCCTGGTAGGATATCATCACTTGTCAATATTATTTTCTGCAAGATGTTTAGGTGTTTGTTTGACTTGTTGCTGCTATTCCACAGTGTCACTAGTTGATGGCTATTGCTTTTCCTTTCCCTTGATAAATTAGGAACAGTTTTTCACCTAGAATACTCAAACTACCTTGCTTGGATGACTGAATTATAGTTTAAGTTGTCTTGAACAGATGGGATGCATTTGCTTTGGGAAATATCTTTTCCAGATGATCTCTTGATGTGACTTTATTGGCATAAATATTGATTACATTCTGGAATTGTCATCTTTACTACAGAAAACATGAATTTCATTTTCATTTTCATGGATTTGTCGAACTGGAATTTTTTGGTGCTGCAACATTCTCTGTTGATTTCTGTACTCTTGACTTTTGCAGATTTAGTTTGTCAATCAGGACCTGGTTCCTGGCCCTCTCAGGTCTATGCTGAATCAGCCGTATATCCCATGGCACATAGCGCAGCTCAGGTTAATATTTGTCTTTTGCAGTACTTTTTATCACTTTTCATTTTGATGGGTGCAGTTTATTCTCACTTGCTCATTCATTTGATATACATTGTTGTGTTTTTATAGTGATTAGTTTTGCCTCCTGATAAATGCATCAGCTAAATTTTTCTGTAACTCCAGTTTCATATTAATAGTGAAAATGGATAGGCGTGATATTTTTTACTCACTTGATTCTACCCATTATAACGCTATGATCTTCTAGTACCTTTTACTAATTCAGATAATATAGTTTTTTTTTTTAGTTTGTCTTATTTTATAGGTTGACATACTTATGAACACATTATGTGCCATCTGCAGGATGTTTTTCCTGTTATTCCTGGAGATACAGATTTCCGGATATTTTCTCAAGATTATGGCGACATTCCAGGCTTGGATATTATCTTTCTTCTTGGTGGTTATTTTTATCATACATCCTATGATACATTGGAGAGACTATTGTACGCATTACATCTGCTATTTTGGTACATATTTACTTAATTTGATTTTTCGAACCACTTTGTCCCTAAGCACTTCCTCTGATACATTCCAATGCCTCCAGACCTGGAAGTATGCAAGCTCGTGGAGAGAATTTGGTTAGCATAATTAAGGCCTTCACCAATTCTTCTAAGCTACAAGTTATACATGAAAGAGAGTCTAATGGATATCAGTACGACGGAGAGCATGCTGTTTTCTTTGATTATTTATCAATGTTTATGGTACGGTACAAAGCTGGTGATTTGTGGTATTTTCATGATACTGTTAATTTGACATGTCCTCAGCTGATATGTGATACTCGTCCTCACTCTCTAATGATGAATATTACAGATATACTATACACGGAAGGTAGCCATGCTACTTCACAGTATTCCTATTGCCATCTTCTTAGCCATGCCCATTTTTTCACACAAGCAGAATCGTGGGCTCCTTTCTTGTTTTTCAACTTTCTGCGATTTTATGAAAGGTAAATCCGCTGCTTTTCAATTTGAACACCTTCATGCAACCTTATTGCTAAGAGTCCTAGTTGTTGCACCCGAAAAATTTGGTTATTTACTTGGTGGGCTGGATTCATTATTTAACTCACGTCTGTCTTTTGTAAACTTTGACATCTTATCAAGAATTTTCAACATTGTTGTCCAATTTGTTAATTTTGCAGGAACAATTTTCCATGCCACTGGGATTCTTCTGGCAATTGTATTTCCAGTTATCCTTGCCATCCTGAGATTGCTGTTCACTAGTCATGCTATGAACTGGTGGGTTCATATTTTGTTGAGTTTAACCTTATAAATTATAGCCCTGTTGTTTTTTGAAATAGCATTGAGCTTTTCTGTAAGGATTTTTGTATGAGTCTAGCTTTTTATCAAAGTTGAACTTTTCAGTAGAATTTAATTATGCTCATTGGTCAGACACATCAGTGAAGCACATACCATTGATGAAAGGGCTGCCCATTTTAGTCAATGGTTTATAGTGATTACGGATAAAGTTTTTTCCAACTCAATTGAATTAGTGTGCCTTTCTTGGTTGAAGTTCTGGATCATATTGTATTCATAAATGAAGTTAAAGTATGATTTCTAGTCGACTAGTTTTAGGTCCTACAAAAAGAAGAGAAAAAAACTCTTATCTAAGCTCCTGTTGTGTATTTTGAAGATGCACTTTATACCTTGAAACTCTCACTGACCTTTTGGGTCAAATGCAGGTTTGCTCATCCATATTTGGCTTACTTGATGTTCATTCCCTGCTCACTTGTTGGTATGTTGATTCCCAGAATTATTTGGAGTAGCTTTCCCCTCTCCCAAGATGCATCAGGTCTCAAATCTTTAAAGGAGGTACTCTTATGCACCAGACAAGACCAAGTTTATCTTTATTTTTCAATAGAAGAAGGTTGTGGAGAAATGTTTTTTCTTTTTCTATGTATTCGTTGAAAACTTATAGATTTCTTTTAATTCCCATTTATTACATTCTCTTGTCTGTCAATCAGCTTGCATTGAATAAGAAAAGATTTTGAAGCTATGACCTGTAAAGTTTGCATGCGCTTATATTTCTACCTTATAGATTAATTTGGTGATATCATGTCTCTATTTCAGTCTGTAGACCTATTGGGTAATGCCTGTGTATATCAGTAATCCCAGTATGTTAAGTTAGCAAATAAATTATCATACGCTTGAACCTTGCAGGATTTATCTGATGAAGCGAGGTTTTGGGGAGCATTTGGATTATACGCTATATTAACTATGGTAAGTAGCATGGTTACCTTTTACGTCAGATGGTTTCACTTAAAAGTTTTACTGATCACTTAAAAGGATGAATCATGAACTTAAGTTGCGTAACTCATATTTGTTTAGTTCACCCTGAGACAGCTAAAACTATTTAGTGAAAGCAGGCTTACCTTTTAGGTGGGCTCAGTGGAGGCTTCTTGACTTTTTCAATGTCCGTATCTATGCTTCCTGGATGGATTTCATATTGCTTATCAGTCAAGTTATTTGGTCGCCAGTCACTCAGGTACTGGTTTCCACAGTTCTTAAAGTTATAATGTGACTGGTGTGTTTGTGTGTTTCCTTCCTTACAGTTCTCATTAACATTTTAGTCCTGTTCTCACAGTTCGAAAAGACATTACAGTTCATTAACTGAACATATATCATTTCTCTCAGGTCAACATTGTTTTACATGTTACCTATAGTTCCATGCCTTGCATACTCTGTATATTTTGGTGGATTTCTTTTACAATTTCTGGTCGAAAAGCTGGGTATGATGGGTGCTTTGCCACCTCCATATGGTTAGTATTTTTGAAATTTCATTTTTTATTGCTGGTATGTGTTACCTTCACATTTAATTTATTGTGTTGTTCAAGGTTTTTTGTGCTTGAATCAATATGTGATCTTCATTTGGATCATAATTCTCTATGATACTTTGTGGTTTGTGCTTGTAATAGAACAAGATCATTAAGATTTTGTTGTTAAATATGGTTCATTCAGATACTTTGAATTATGCTGCAAGTACTTTGGATTCCCGTTATGCAAAAATTCAACGAAAATCTTCTTTTAATCTTCAGTTATATTCTTGCAGGTTATTTTATTCCTGATGTTGTGATGGCAGCAATAGTTGGAGTTGTGACTGGTTGGTGTGTAGGCCCTCTGATACCTATTTCTGGTCGCTGGTTAGCTAGGTCATCCATTTTGCAAGTTTTGCTGCACATTAGTGTGCTAGGCTTGGCTTTGTCATCTCAGTTCTTTCCCTACAGTGCGGATGCTCCTAAGAGGATTGTTTTCCAGCATACGTTTCTTACTGCAGGTATCCATGCTAGCGAAAGCTAACCTGTTATGTGATAGTTATGATAGATGAAGCAGGCCATGGTTTTTAAAATATTTGCAAATCCATCCAACTAATATTAGTTTCAACTAGTAGTTATTTATTTCTTTACTTTTCATCTTTGCTTTCCTTTATATTGGATTTGTCCTACACCCTATGCAAACAGTTTTTCTTCTGTGTGACAGATGCAAATCAGGTTGTGGAGTCCAGCTATGATTTTTCTGTCGTAGATTCCAATTCTTTACTTTTCCTATTTAAACATGCACCGGAGGCGGCAAAGGAATTGCACATTACTTCAGAGTTATCTTTTAAAACTGCAAATTTATCTCAGCGGGAGAATTTTATGGTATGTAAGATTGTAATGAGTTTACGTCAATTTACTATTAAAGACAGCCTTCTATGACCTTTTTAATCTCTAGTGCTTATCCTTGAGATTGGATCACTCATCCTAGAGTATTACCCGTGGTCCTCATGTCATGCAATCATTGTTCTTTGTGTCTATGATCTATTACCTGAATGAACTTCTTACCGATGTTATCTCAGCAAAAATATGTCTATACTCTCACTAAAAAATCAAATATAAGTCCTCATTCCAAATTCTTCCATTCAAACTAGCGTAAGATGTACTCGAGATTCAAGAGCAACCCTACAGCCTTACTGTAATCCATGGATAACTTGTTCGTGCACGTTAATTGCTATGTTCAGTTAATTGTTCAATATTAATTTGAAACATGGGCACCATGGATGAAAAATTATCTGATGGCCTTTTGTATTTATGTTTAGGGACTTTTTCCTGTGTCGTTTTTGTTCTCAAGAAGCTTGAAGTTCCCGGCAAAAAGTGATGGTATTTTGAAGCAATACAAACAGTTCCCCCATCTGTCTACTTATGAGCCACATAAGGTTTTCAGCGAGGGATCTCGGAGAGTATACCTGCAACTGTCTTTAGGGTGAGTAAAACAAACCACCACATTCATGACCTACTCTTGGATACAGAATAGGCTTTCTATATGGTTTTTCTGGATTATTCTTTTAATTTCGGTTGCAAGTTTTAAAGCTTTTTGTGATACTTCATGTCAGTTCCTTGGAGGAGGTTTGGGTTACCGTCGTCAATATAACAGGCCCTTTATCGAACTGGTCATTTGCAGACAATACACTTCCAGGTAACGGAATGTCTTTTGCATTTTTATTTTTTGATAGACACATTTACCTTTTCACACAGTGTACGCTTATGCTTGAGAAAAATTGGAACAGCTACTGAAACGAATGCTGGAGGTCCACCGTCATATATATGCCGGCTTAGTGGAGCTAGCTCTGAGTATTGGAACTTCTGGTTAGAGGTATAACTCTTTCAACTGGTGTTAATTTATTTTCTTCCAGCTCTGTCCGTTTCTAAAATTTTGCTTTCGATAATTGCAGGCTACCGGTTCTGAAGATTTGAGGGTTGATGTTGCTGTCATAGACCAATATATGGTTGACGAAACAAAGAAGCTGAGAGGCCTTTTTCCGGAGTGGGTGGATGTCGTTGCTTACTCGAGCTTCTTGTCGAGTTATATCTTCTAGTTTTATTTTAACTTCTGCAATGCTAAAGACGAGTTTGAAATATTCATTCAAACGTTCTGCAATAAGATTCTTAACTTCTGCTCGCATAACAATATTCGTGTGCTTTAAAACACGTATATCAAATAATAAACGCGACATAACATAGAAACACAGAAGCGATCAATCCGCTAAGAGCGCGTTTACATATGTTTTCCCGAATGAGTTGTGGAAAATATTGTACTTGGACGCTGCACACTAGTTGTGTAGCTATCACCGTCCGTTGGGAACAAACCAAACGAGTGGTGAACGAGTTCGTGAAGTAAATCGAAGAACTCGATTTCTGGAAAATCCCGAGTTGATTGCGACATTGCTGCTTGATTTTCGCCCAAACACGACGCCCGACCACCCAAGCGTTCCACGTTCTCCCACTCCTCATCAACAAAATTCAACCTATATACAAGAAAGCGCAAGGTATAATCTTCAAGACTTTGTAGGTTATTAATCTTATCGTCGTCATCATCATAAAATTTGTTTTCGTAGTCGTTACCGTTATCAAATCATGCTTTCATTCCTCTCACGTAATTATTTTTTACTGACGACACATCACATAATTGGCAAATTTGGTCCACAAAATTGGTCGACCTAACGTGATTCTTTCTTATAACTAATCTAAGCTAGCTGTGTACAGTACTGTGTAGACGAAAACAAAACATGTTTAAAAGCTTCCACTTTATTCAACTCACTGTGGATTGGGAACAATCCAAACGGGTTCCGAATTATTATTTCTGTTCCCAGCCAGTCGAGATTTATAGAGCGACTTAACAACTTTGGTTTCTAAATTGTATACTCCAAGATGAAATTCAAAAAAATCACAAGGCCGCCCATCGGGCACCAAGTCACTCACCTCGCCTGTGAAGTAAATCGAGTTTTCCTCGAGTTCTGGCAATTTATGGGTGGATAACGACATGGTTGGCAGATTTTCAACAAGAAATATAGCACGATCGCCCAAAGAGTCAACCTTCTCCCACATTTTGGCATCAAAGTTTAACTTGTAGACATAAAAGGGCACTGATATTTCATCCCAACTAGAGTAGAGCAACGGTCCGTGCTCCACAAGCAAAATCTCACCCATCGACTCCACCAACCGATGCCTTATGCCGTCGCCATCACCGTAAACCATTTGCTCCATCAAAGGTTGTAACTCCATGGTTTTCTTGGGATGATTGTAGGTTTCACCGAAGTCCCAAACATGAACTGAGTGGTCGCTGCATAATGCAAACAAATGCCAATTGTGGAACACAATCTCACAGTACTTACGTTCTCTAACTAAGTCTAGCTTGGTCCACGCAGTGTTACCTCCGCCATGCTTATAGAATTCTAGACGTCCTACACCCCCGCCGTGACTCGCCACCACAACGACAAAGTTGTGATTGCGAGAGGGGTTCCAGGATAGGACAACTTTGGAAATGTGAGGAACGTGCAACGGAGGAAGCGTCCGACTTTCACCACAAATTGGATTGGCAAGGTAAATGATTTCTTTGAATATCTCCCCGGCTTTCGGATTCCAAATGGCTAGCCACCCATGTGATGATCCCACACACCGAGACCAATAAGAGTCGTCACGTAAGCCTCTAAACACATTCCTCTTGATCCTGTAAACCTTTTCCTCAGCTAGGCTAAAGAAGCAGCCCTCCTCCTCCTCCACATCAGGATCACTAGGGAGGCGCTTCTTCCGGCGTTGAGCGGGGAGCATGAGCCATGGAGATTGAGGCAGTGGTGTATAAGATGGGCCGGAGACATACGATTTTGCAGCGTGATTCCAAGAAGGACAAACAGCTTTGAATCGAAGGGTGTGGACGAAATATGAGGGAAGCTTTTCCAGGAGCAACTGCAGTAATTCTGGTGGGATCTCAGACCACCTTGGTACTTTCGTAGAATTTGTGTTATTTGATCTCATCCTCCTCCGTGCAATGGTGGAGTGGTTTCTCAGACACCTTTCCGATGTTTTTTGTTTTGGCTGCATCATTTGCATTTGTTAATTAGGGTTTTTATCTGTTGGGTGGTTGGTGGTTTGCTTTCGGCTTAGGGTTTACTTTGACTGGGCTTCCATTGGTGCTTATATTTTGGAATTTGGGCCTACCCTTTTTTTTATTGAGAATTAATATTGTATGTGGGTCCTCTTCGCAAATTCATTTTTTTCTTCCCACATATCATTGTTAATTTTTGTTCATTAATTTTATTCAATTCATTCGATCCAATCATCGAAAATTGAGAGAGATATGTGAGAGGTAAAAATAAATGTTTGAATAGCACCATCCTAAATTAACATTCTATTTCTCTCTCGTTTATCACCGTTGCTCATGAAAAATGCTAGAGAGATCACATTTTTGTACTAATATCTAATGTACACATGTCATATCAATTAATAAATTTATTTAATTAGATATTGTGAATCACTTGCCACGATATATGGTACCCTGATATCGTATAATTATGTGACAACCAAGAAATCTAGAATTTTTTCTTACGTTATATAACTCAAGCCATGAAACTAGCAGCTATTAATAGAAAGTAAAAATGGATAGATTAATAAGAAAGGAGTAAAGAAAGGAGCATGTGTGGTGCTTAGTGAGAGGAGAATTCCCTCACCTCCTACTTTTCTCACCTCCCATCCCCTCTTGTAATCTAGACAAACAATCATGGGTGGCTTGTGAAAGAGGAAGAGGGTAAGTGGTGGTGTGAACAGTGGTGAAGAAGAGGAAGGATGATTGAACAAAAATAATAAAAGAAAAAAAATATGGCTCATTAAATATGTGGCACAGCTCCAAACTATTAGATTTATTATGAACGATCTAAATTAAAAGAAGAGTTAGAAGAGAAAGAAATAGAATGAGAGAAAATCTAAATTTGCATTCGTGTGGCCGTGAGATACAGTTATTTGATATCATCAAAAGATTTGCATAAATTATTTGATATCATCGATGATATTGGACTAACTTCTCACAAATGCAAGAAAATTGTAGCTCAACTTGGTGAGATAAGAGCATTCACCTGATATTTGAGACCTGAGTTCAGTTGACCTCCTACATGTAAGCTAGAGTAGTGGAATTTACTAGCCACTAAATACTACGATTTTGTGGTATTCTTCTTTATTTGTAAGTAAGAGGTCTTAGATTCAAATCTCGTAAACGGGAATTCGATACCAAATTAGGTTGTCCATTGTGTGGTTTAGCCGAACTCCCCCCTCCCCTTAGTATAAAATATATCGTTGTACTAAAAAAAATTAATAAATTGAGGAAGATCACACATGGAACTAGCTACCTTCTCAATCAACTATTTTTTAGTAGAGCAACAATGTTAGTGAGTTAGATGGTTAGTTGTTTAGAGGAGAAAAATTGGTTACATAAATATGATTGCTTTCTGTTACTGCCATGAAACGCTAACTAGTATGTACTTAATTAACTAGTATGTGCTTAATTTTATTGTTGGTATGGCTATGCCGGTAGGACAATGGGTTTTTTTTTTTTTTTTTTTTTTTTTTTACATTAAGGTGGTGGGGGAGTGGGCTAAGCCTCACAATGGGCGCATCATAATAATGCGGTTCAAATTCGTCTTTGGCAAAAATCGAAATTAAGACCTCTCACTTACGAGTGAGGAGGAATACCACTAGACCATAGTACAAAATGACAACGGTTTGTCTTTTTTTTATATATTTATGTTTGAATTGGTCGTGGGTTTGTAAGGGAGCCCACTTACCAAACATTTCGTGGTTGCCATGAAGCCCAAAGCAGCCGAAGTGAGGGTCCATTAGCCTATTAGGTCTGGTTATTACTAGGGTTTCATTTCCATCTGTTTATATACGCACAAGTCCCACACGAACTCTCCTCCTCTGCTAATATAAGCAAAGCGTAAACCCTTTCACTGAGGCAGAAGCCCCGTCAGCCGCCATGGTAACCCTATTCACCTCCTTCCTCTCTCTCTCTCTCTCTCTCTCTCTCTCTCTCTCCTTCTCTCCTGCGCGAAATCTAGTCCGTTTCTGAATCTCCGCGCCTTCAAATGCACTGACAGTGATTTTGTTTTTTATTTTATTTTTCAGGTGAAGTACTCAAGAGAGCCCGACAATATCACGAAGTGTATGTCCTCTTATCGTTTTACTGTTACAGATCGAGTGGGTTTTTGTATACGAATCTTCGTTTCGTTTCTCTGGGAAAATTGGTATGATCTGAATGTGGGGTTTCATTGTTTTCGTTTGTTTCAGCTTGCAAAGCAAGAGGCTCTGACCTGAGGGTTCATTTCAAGGTATTGTTATTATTATTTGTTGGTCGTAGAGTTTAATGTTTCGAAGTTACATGCTTTTGGGTTTTTGTTCTACCTTGTTTTGTTCAAGTAAGTGATGATATGGTTGTGCAATGTGGCGTTTCGTTTAGGTTTCTGTTGCTTATTTGAATGAATCTACACTGTTTTTTGTTGTTGCGTAGAGATTAAGTAATACATGTAGCATTTTGTATTGGTGGTGTCGTTCTGCTTGTTTTTATGTGTGTGCAATTTAGTCAGAAAACATTTGGTTTCTAGTTTTACGGGTCTTGCGAGTTAGGAGTAGTCGGGCTTTTTAAGTTTGGACAATTTGGTCAAGATTGACACAAACTTGGTGGTTTTATATGCATATACGTACACGTGCACACGCACACACGTACGTGCATTTAATTTAATTTCTTGAATCCTGTCGGACAAACAATCGGCGCTTTGTTGCCTTATGTGAACCGAGCTCTTGTATGCTTCAGGTAAATAACTAGCATTGTTCTTGGGTGAACCTCTGTACTTTGCATTTGTTGCATTTTGTGACTGAAGGCTCAGTTAATGATGCCACATTTTTTTCATTTATGAATTTTTTCAAGTTTTTGAAACCTGATTCATAAAAGCAGGGCTTAGTTACCTTTTGTGAACTTGGCCCCCGTAAACTTCAGGAAAATCAGCTGCATTGTTTTTGGGTGAACCTCTGTACTTTGCATCTGTTGCATTTTTGTGAATTAAGGTTCAGTTAATGATGCTACATTTGGTCATGTTTAAGTTTTTTCAATTTTTGAAACCTGATTTAAAAAAGCAGGGCTTAGTTACCTTCTGTGAACTTAGCTCCCGTAAACTTCAGGAAAATCAATTGCATTGTTTTTGGGTGAACCTCTGTACTTTGCATCTGTTGCATTTTTGTGACTGAAGGTTCAGTTAATGACGCCACATTTGCGCTTGAATTATATATGTTTATTTTCATAACTCTAGTATAAGAAGAAGTAATTAATGAATCATGTCTATCATCGGTGGATGGTACTTGTGTTTGCATCCAATTGGCCTTAGTAGGAACATGATTTGGCTCCCTTGTATGTGAGTGTTGACACTTGTAAAAACAATTTTACACTTGTGTTTTTACAATTTTAGAGTTTTTTCGATAACTATTTTTGAAGTTTGGACTTGCGTTGCTATTGTGCTTAACAGAACACAAGGGAAACTGCATTTGCTATCAGAAAGTTAACCTTGGTCAAGGCAAAGCGATATTTGGAGGATGTTCTGGCTCACAAGCAGGCCATTCCCTTCCGTCGTTTCTGCCGTGGTGTTGGGCGTACTGCCCAGGCAAAGAACAGGCATTCCAATGGGCAAGGACGCTGGCCTGTCAAGTCTGCCAAGTTCATATTAGATTTGCTTAAGAATGCTGAGAGCAATGCTGAAGTGTGTTGCATCATCTTACACTCTGCGTATTACTTTGGTATTGTGATCTCTATTTTCCACGAAGACTAATAATTTCTATTTTTTCTTTCAGGTGAAGGGTTTGGATGTTGATTCCCTGATTGTATCTCACATCCAGGTCAACCAAGCACAGAAGCAAAGGCGCCGAACCTACAGGGCTCACGGAAGAATCAACCGTAAGTGCCAAGCGGTTATCCCCCTATCTTATTTTATTGTTGAGAATCTTTGTTTTGATATTGATTTATATTGCTAAACCTATTGCAGCATATATGTCATCTCCCTGCCATATTGAGCTGATCCTGTCTGAGAAGGAAGAACCCGTTAAGAAAGAGGTATTTTGAAAATTATACTTCAAGTCGACAAAAAAAAAGGAAAATTATACATCAAGTACCTCTAATGTTGTTGAAATGCGTGTTGCAAGTCGTGAAGTAATTTGATTATCTGTTACCGTTGCAGCCTGAGAGCCAGTTGGCAACCAGCAAATCGAAGAAGGCTGCTCTCAGAAGTGGTGCTTCCTCTTAGAGCGCATCATTCGACAAATCAAAGAGTTGCTGATTTCCTGTGATGAGGGTTTTTTGCTCTACTAGACAATTTTGCTGCCTCGTGTTGTTTTAGTACCAAGTTATGTTTTGGTTGGGGAATGTGCTTGAAAACTAATGCTAGAGATAGTTTCATAATGTAACCGACTTTATCATGCCCTATTATTGATTCAATGTCATTTTGTTGTCCCTTGCAAAAGGTCTGAAACATAAATTTTGGAACAGATCGGAAACTCGAATTTCGGAAACTTAAACTGTCTGATCGTTGTGTGACCAAGGAAAGCATGATCGCTCGCTTTTGATTTGAAATCAAGGGTTGAATTGAGCTTCTATAACTAGTGATTGGGAATGCGATTACTGCAAGTGCTTTTGTTAGAAGCGGAAACATGATTCAAACTGGGAAGGTAACTTGGAAATAGTAAATACCCTCGGTCAAACCTTTACCCGTATTATTAAGGGGGAGCTTTTTCTTAATCTCCATACTCTTATGGAAAATGGGATTGAATAGAATTTTAACACAAAGTTAACCAAAAATTCTCTCGATAGGAGAACAACTTATATGGCAACCGGTACACCACCAACTGGTGTCTGATACCGAGGGAATGAGAACATATCAATAAAATTTACACGTCTTTATTTATCGACACTGAACGCCTTGCAATGTGTGTAAAATAGAGGGATTTGCAGAGACCAAAACGTGGGCTGATGCTATTGGTAGGAGTTGGCATTGGTTCGTATATAATTTTGGAAGTAAAATTCTCTTTCCTTCAAATTTTTTCCCCTTGCCTTCTCTCTTCTCTCGCTTCTTTTTTTTTTTTCTCTCTATAAAAAATTTAACACAAGATGTTGACGTGACTGGATCGTTGTTGACAGCTCAAATAGTAGGGGACTGGAAAAGAAACTTTGGAGGAGAGAGGATCCCAACCATAAAATTTGTCCATGGGTTTGAAATCGCAGGCCTGGTGGGGGAACTATCAATTGGGCTGGGTAAACCCAAAACTGAATCGACCCAAAAATAATCAAATAACTAGAGCAAACCACGTATGTGCCGTGCTTCTCTACCGTCAGATACAAAATCAACGTCTCTGATCTCTTGCCGAGGATTCAACGAGCGCCTCGATTTTTATTTTTTGTAATTTCGTCCCCTCACAAGTTCTCAGTTTCTCACTTCCGTTTGGTCTGTTCGCAGGTAAAAACTCTCTCCTTTCCGTCCTCTCGTGTAATTTCAGTTTCGATTTCTATCGATTGGTTGAAGGTATAGGGTTTCCGATCCCAATTTTTTTTATCAAATTTTCTCCATTTCAATTCTGCCATTGATTTTTATGAATTTGGTTGTTGGGCAGCCGAAGGATTTCATAGCCAATCAAATTATTCTCATGATTTACAAGACCTCGTTAATTTTGTTTTCAAATTATGTTTCCTATTTTTCCAGGTTGCAGAGGAAGGAGTTGGTACCTAAGAGTTCATTTCAAGGTATTGTTTCTAGGGTTTTCCCGGTGCAGTTTCAAATGTTGAGAATTTGCTTCACTTTATTTAGTCTTTTAATTAATTAGGTTAATCGTAATAAGTTGTTTAATTTTCCGTTTAATTTGCAGATGGATTGGCAAGGGCAGAAGCTAGCTGAGCAGCTGATGCAGATACTGCTACTGGTCTTCGCCGTTGTGGGTTTCGCCACCGGTTACATAACCGGATCGTTCCAGATGATGACTCTGACTTATGCTGGTGGCGTGGTTCTCACCACATTGGTCACCATCCCCAATTGGCCCTTCTTCAATCGCCACCCCCTCAAGTGGTTGGACCCGAGCGAAGCCGAGAAGCATCCCAAGCCGCAGCCGCAGCAGCTCGCGAGCTCGAAGAAGAAATCCTCCAAGAAGTAAGAAGTAGGTCATCACATCAATGGATTTAATGAGATATTAACATTGTTCTGAGACATATATATATTTTCAGCAGTCATACAATGAGACTAGAAGAGATTTTCTTGGTATTTGCTGCTGCGTTTATGTGATCTTGTTTTAATTGTTTGGTTTTCTGATTCAGAAATATGAAACCCTTTGATTTTCTTTTGATAGTTCATTAGGTAAACATTGATTTAAGCATGATTACAAGTGCAAAGATATCTGAGATTGAATCGGTTGCCAATTACAAACGGTGCTTGCGTTTCACTACAGAAGACTCCGGTAAGTTGTTGTCAAGATCAGGGCTCAAGCTTAACTATTTACAATGTACGAAAAGATTGAACTTTCTACTGGCTTTCATCCCTCATTGCCTTGAGAAACGGATCGTTTTCCTCATCTAGTAAGTTGTCGTCATCGTCCAGCTCGTCTAATTCATCGAGTAAAGATTGGTTCATACTCTTGCGAGATACTCTCCTGTGCTTCTTCAGCTCCAACCGTGGTTCAGCTTGTTGAACGCCCTTATCTCCCGCCTTGTACCTGCAAGCAATGTGATACGTTCAGGCTCAGAAGCAGGACGTACGAAATGTGCAAGGTACTAGAACTTTGTGCTAGAGAAACATCTGTACTACATTTGTGTGAGTAACGAGACTAAACCAGAACGTGATGTGAGAACGATATGCCAGAGATCCAATTGAACTACGATATGGCAGATGTTACGTCTGCACAAGCACCACAAGTGCCAGGGCAAAGTTAAACTGGCATAAAATTATGATAACAATTCTTTTTTCTGTGCACATCAGTGTGACGGATGCATAGATTCTCATTTTTTTGTAACACAGCAAACAAAGAATTTACAAACACTTCAAGCCATAAGGACGGTGAAATGGTAGCTGTTTTCAATCTACCACGAGGTTTTCGGTAGAGCATAACATTCCTCATGTTACACCGCAAGTTCGTAACAACCATGGTAATGCGTATTATCCGCATTCAAGTACTTAAAACCACAGAAACTGAACTATTCTGTCAACAAGCATGCATAACTGGGACTAAAAACCTACATGTAGTTCGAACATACCTTACATCACCCTCCTTTTTGGTTCCGTACGTCCTCAACTGAAATTCCTCTCTGATTCTGATCTCATCAAGAAGTTGGAAATAGTATGGATATCTTTCCCAATCAGCACTAACGACGCACCCCGGTTCACCAAGATGCAGGCAATCATTGAATGAGCATTTTGCAGGCTCACTGTCACTGAGCATCTTCCTGATCTGATAGGATAAACGCATAAGTACCAGTAGAAAGTAACAAAAGTCAACATGTGCCAGCAATGTGATGGGAAAGGAACTTATGTACATGAATCAAGCGAAAGGCATCAAATAAAAAGTACACATACCTCTGGGAATGTTTGTGCTAGAGATTGCTTGGTGACTTTCGTTAAACTAGGCTGGTTGAAGCCAGGAGTGTCAGCAAGATAACCCCCGTTAGACAATGGAAGCAATGAGACATTGCGTGTAGTGTGCTTCCCTCGGCCACTTCTTGTTGAAACCTGTCCAACAAGCTGGTCCCCATACCATTTGCTTCCTAAAATCTGAAATAAGTACAGAAAACAACGGAGATATGAGCACCAAACTCACCCTAACGAAATCATAGAAACAAAAGAAAAAAGAACGAAGGGAATGATTGAAACCCACTGGATCAAACAAACTTTCCCCTTCTGCAGCATCAGAAGCATGGTGGTTGCTCCTCAAAGCATTAATCAGACTAGACTTGCCAACTCCACTTGGACCGACAATGACACTCGTTTGATCTCTCAATATAAATGCAAGAGAATCAAGTCCATGTTTTGATTCAACACTGCAAAAAACCGGCTTGTAGCCCCACTTATGCAGCCTAAACTTCCATGCAGCCTTCGCCTGCATATTTAATCGAAGGCTAGCACGCTTAGGAATCAATACTACCAGAAATGAATATACTGAAGACGGAAAAAGATTACATAGCAACTTCTAAAAGCAAACCACATTTAGCATACCAAAAAGAATAGTTCCAATTCGGTTAAAGTGCTAAATTTGAACTGAATTAGAACTCTTGCGCACTGCCGTACCATGAGAAATTCGAAAGATTCATCACCAATATCAAAAACTCAGAGCCAGTTTGATATTCCATTGAACTATTATACGAAAACAATACAGCATCAGACGAAAAATTCAGAATCATTTTGATGCTGCATTGAATTATTATACATAGAACTTACTTATCTAATCAAGATAAGTAAGTTTACTCACATAACACAAGAGATTAACAACAATTAGAGCTAAGCAGCCAAACTAATCACCAAAGTTAAAGTTAATGAAGAATCGAATCCAACCTCTTCGTCAACAAGCTCAGACTTGTTGAGAGCGAGTGTGAGCGGAATTCCGGTGGACTCGGCCTCGATCAAGAATCTGGTGAGTGCGAACGGCTCGAGCTTGGGCTGCTCCATGGAGAAGAGCACGAGCAGATGGTCCACATTCGCAACCGGAGGGTCAAGAATCTCGGAGCTCCGCTGGTACACATTCTCGATCATGCCCCGGCGGTCCACCCAATCAATCGACCCTACCAGCACCTTGTCCCCAACCAGCACTCTCCTCTTAATTTTCTTCAGCACCGCCTTCACGACGCACAGCAGCTCCACTTTGCTCTCTTCGATGCTTCTGGGAGGCTCCACGATGACGCGCATGAAGTTGGCTTGGGCAGCGGCAACCGTGCCGACGGTCTGGGACTCGTAGAGCGGGGGCTTGTCCTGGGGAGAGAGGACCGGGGCGAGGGAGGAGTAGTCCTTGAAGGTGTGTTTGGCTCTGAGGAGCTTCTTGTTCGGGGGCTGGGACTTCCTGGAGACGTTAGGGTTCTGGTGCTGTTTGGCTGCGGCGACGGAGACGCACCGGAGAGTTGAGATTTGGCGGATGATTTTGGCGACGGTTGGGAGGGCGGCGGCGGTGGTGGGGATGATGGTGCGATGGCGGAGGATGGACATGGAGGAAATTGGCATGGAGATTGTGGGGGTGTTTGGTTACGGAGATCAATTTGGTTTTGTTGCGGATAATCTGTTTGGGAATTTGGTTCAGTTGGAAAGGGGATTATGGTTATGGAGACTCTTCATTTCTGTTATCGGCAGATGGGAGACTCCGAGACTGCACAGGCAATTTGCAATTCTCAGCTGAGTCGAGACTGACTATTAAAACGACGTCGTGTTGGACTTCATGGTTTGGACCAACACTGGCGCGGACTTGGACTAAAAGCCCAATATCAAAAGGGAAGAAAGGGAAGTAACCCAATTATGTCCAGAGGACTTTATAGCTGTATTTAGCCTAAAGTTTGGCCTCAAAAAATGCAACCTTTCTTTGGGCCTTGTAACATGTAGCCTTTCATTTAGACCCAACAAACATGTTGTTTTTGTCGTGTTTGTGTTGTTTTCGTGTCACACCATTTCGACTTGCAAGTATACAATAATGATGTTGTAGACATCGAAATTTCGGTGAAACAAATGTTCACCAATGCATTAAAGTTTTGACGTGTCAAGGCATACATGGCATACGCCACGTGTTGTACAAATTGTACACATGGCGTGTGACTCAACAAAATAGGAAGAAATACCCTTGAAGGATTAAACAAGTTTTTCTTCTCATTTTTGGGCAATGACAAGGCAAGCACATTTCAATCCATTGAGGATCAAAACAAGTTTTTCTTCTCATGTTGGGCAATGACAAGGCAAGCACACTTCAATCCATTACGGATCAAAGCAAGTTTTTCTCATTTGGGCAATGACAAAGCATACACATTTCAAGTTTAAAATGGTGTTAAGTGGGAAATTAGGCCATAAGTTACACCACTTCAAGTTTAAAATGGTATTAAGTGGGAAATTAGGCCATAAGTTACACCACTTCAATTTCAATATTGCATTAAGTGGGAAAATTAGGCAATGGTGCTTGGAAAGGAAAAAAATATTTTTGTGGTGGTGATTCATTCTCAAAGCCTATAAATAGGCTTCTCCATCAAGGTATCAAGCATCAAGGAATTCACAAATACATTTCTCTACTCCAAAATTGGGAGAGAATTCCCCAAATCCTTGAAGCTTTGAAACTCCAAAGCTCTCAAGCATCCAAATTCCCAAGAATTCCGAAGGATCAAGAAAGCACTCTTCGTTCTTCGTCAAATCTTCCTTCAAGATCAAGCCCCAACGGCCCTTGAAGAAATCCACACAACCATTATTCAAGATCAAGCCCCGACGACCCTTGAAGAAAGTGTTCATCATTCATCAACTGTTCATCCTTAGATCAAGCCCCGACGGCCCTTTGGATCAACAACTCATCCACAAACCCATACACCCATTCTTCAAGATCAAGCCCGACGGCCCTTGAAGAAAGTGTTCATCCGTTCATCCTAAGATCAAGCCCCAACGGCCCTTTGGATCAACAACCTCAACAAATCCACACATACAACCGTTCATCCAAGATCAAGCCCCGACGGCCCTTGGATCAACAAACAAATCCACACATCTATTCTTCAAGATCAAGCCCAAAAGCCCCCTTGAAGAAAACCAACTGTTCATTCAAGATCAAGCCTCAACGGCCCTTGAAGAAAACCAATCGTTCTTCAAGATCAAGCCCAAAAGCCCTTGAAGATCCGCTCATCCATCAACATTCAAGATCAAGCCCTGAAGGCCCTTGAAGAAACTTCCATCAACCTTCAAGATCAAAGCCACGAAGGCCCTTGAAGAAACTTACAACTGTTCATCCAAGATCAAGCCTCGACGGCCCTTGGATCAACAAATCTACATCTTACGGAGATAGAATCAGATGACCAAATTTGAGAGAGATCGTAACCCCAAAATCATTAAACACAAAAATATTATTGTTGCACACGTTATTCTTGTTTCTTGTTTCAAGGAATCTTTCGTGTTCACAGATGTGTACTTGTTGTAGTGATAAAAACTATGATGTATGATTATGACGGAACTTTGTTGTGAGTGTAGTGGTTCGTTAATCATGACCTCAAGTTTGACGTAACAATAAAATGTTTTAAGTCATTTTGTCATAAATATAAAGTATTTCCCTTCTTCCTTCTTGATTCTTCGTTACTCTCATATACACTCTTCCTCCATCACTAGCACCAAAAATAAAAATTAAAAACGAAAGAGTTATCGAGTAGCTTTTAGTTTTCATCAAACACAGGACGAAAGCAATCGTTTCAATAAATAAAAAAAATTTAAATGTCAAAATTTGTAAGTTGGTTACATATATTATGACCTTGTGATTTGGTCATACCACATAGTGTTTTGGCAATCTTATCCAACGTATCGGTGGAGTGAATGGTATTATTTTATCCTGGATATGAACACAACCTCATTTTATACACTGGCAGAGAAAAGAGACGTACGAACTCTTATCACTTCTTCTATGCAATACAGCAACAATTTACGTTTCATGATAAACATAAGACTCAACGATTATCCCTAAACCAAAATTTAAGACTAATTCAAATCCTCCCACAGGGGAAATACCATGTTTATTAAAGGTATAAATCTGCCTACCCATAAAGACAAAAGCACTATTATAATAACCAGTGTATGTATAATATATAGACTCATTTAGAAGTGTTTTTAAAATAACTGAAAACAATATTTTAGCTAATTTTAGTAAAAATGTAAATAAATTATAAAAAAACACTTAAAATATTTTCTATAAGAAGCACGTAACTAATATTTATTTAATAAACACTTTATCTATTTTTGAAATCCAAAAACATTTCATTAAAAACCGTTTTTAGTTATTTTAAAACAGAAGATAGGCAAGCATAGCCATCAGATCATAGCCCTTATTGACAAGTTGCATGAGATTCTCCACCAAGCCTGAAGCAGATCTTTTTCCACGAACAGGTGTTACAAGTAAACGTGAGAGGATCTCTGACATATCTTCTTTGTGAGGATCACAAGGATCTTTTAATTACATACGTTCATTGTATAATGTGCGGTCAGTTTTCGGTAGGTAGTATTTATATTCAATTTTAAATAAAAAATTTACAATAATTTATGACCGTATAATGTACAATAAACGAATGTAATTTGAGGATTACGAGATCCTCATCCAAGTAAACGAGAGCTGTTCAGGCAGAAGAGGCCTCCCTTATTATTAATAATAATTGCTGTAAAGAGTAAAGCGTAAACCTGCATAGTTTTGGGCGGCAGAATAATGTACAGACGCATATATGTTTAGTTGCATAATTCTCATATTTGTTACGCTAAACATCTACCGCTTTTAGATTTTTAGAACATTTTTAAAGGAAATATCAAATGTAAAGTATCAAATTTAAATTTGATGCCATATCATCATATAAAACTTCTTACTCCACCCGATATGTCTGAATGTTTCATTTTTTTTTGTAATACTTATGTGTTTTTTTTTAACGAATGATATTATCTATACTAATCTTCATAATTGGCTAGCAATAATGCGAAATACTTATGAGTTAATTATTAAAGAAGGTGAAAAGTAACAATTTCAAAGAAACAAAATAGATTGTATTTACTGTGGGTCGTACTGTTAATCAAATTAAAAATAATTTGACATTAACTTTTCTTGCTGTCATTTGTTACGCCAAGAGCACCTCCTTCAATCCAAGTCAGCATTTGGTTCATCAGTTGGAAAATATTCATTTTTTATCCACTTGATATTTTTGACATCTCCTTTAAAGATGCTCTAATTGAATTAGGTGATCCCATGTATTTGGTTCCATATTATCAAATGTTCATGGGTAGAAGTTATGAACTCCATTAGGTCTCAGCTCCCCTTAATTCCTTGAGGACCACAACTGAATTTTGATTCTACCTACCAAATTCAAAGTTTAAGATATTTTGGGTTTTCTTCGAAGAATCGAGAAGCTTAAATTCTTAATTATTAACGTTGAAATTAAAAAGAAAATTTAAATCCAAATGAAAATATTTTTGGTGGTTGAGGAGAAAGTTTTCATCTTTACTTATGAATCCCCCCAAACAAGTGTTACCGAGTTTCAAATCGAGTTGATTCGCGAGTGGATAATTATATTGGAACACTTTGTTTTGGGGTGTGATTAGTGTCGTTTTTTTCCTACCCTAATCACAATTAAACTGACTCACTAGCTCGAAGTATCGAATTCAATATCTTTTATATTTTTCTTATTTATTATAGAATTGCAGTCCTCGCTCCAATTAAAAAAAACTAACCATAAGAAGGTGACGTTCTGTTCTGCCCATAACTGAAAGGCCAAGCTACCCCATCCGCCCCTTCACCCACCATTTCCGCGTGCGCCCACCACACCCATCCAATGGCCCATCCCCCGTCGACTTCTACCCATAGTTCTCAGTCTACGCTTGACCTACTTAATCACACCCACAGCAACACTAGATAACATTTTATCTGTTCATCGTATATTATGCGTTTAATTTTTGTTATGTACATTCTGTATTTAATTTCAAATAAAAAGATTAAAATTAATTTATAATCGCACAATGTATAATGAACATATAGAATGTAAAGATCCGGATAGGATCCATATCCCTAGACAACGACCTTAGTTATCCTGCCACAACACAATGCAGCAAATCCAAACATAAATTACATCAATGCCACGGAGTATTTTTCGTATGGTTGTTACACGGTCATGACATATGTAAGTTGTTTCACGTAATACTAAAAAGATACTCTATTTCATAGCATAGTCCTACTATAATATATCAGACCGAAACAAATATGATATTCATTGATATGAAAAAGAATGCCTACATAAAGAATGATATGATTCATATTAATGTTCATCGATAAAAATCTTATCAAAAATTTCAACATGATCGAAAAAAAAATAGCATTTTGTATTAACAAATTACAAAATTGTACTATCCTAAAAAATAAGATTTATAATTACATCAAAAAGTTTCTCAAACCAAACCAGTAGATGCTCTAATGTCAAACCCAGTTTTGCCAGTCGATGTGCCCTCCTCAAATTTTTGGACTGGAAAAAAAACATGCGATGAAGTAATATGTTTGAGTGGCATTTTGTGATTTGTGCATGGTAAGAGTAACTGGTTATCAATCATATATGGTAAAACTTTTATTAAGTTA